GGGCAAAATCAAGATAGAACTCTCAAAACTTCTTAATTTTAGTCATTGGGGCATCCTTTAGGAAATTCAATGGCATGGGTCAAACATCAACAGAAATGAAGCATGTGCTTACTGTTACTAATCTTGAAATACTAATTAAACCTAAGGAAATACTAATTTTCTAATCCCAACTTTATCGGTATATAATTGATCTAAAAACAAAAAAAGAAGAAAAGAAACAAAGAAAAGAAATTAAAGCTAGCCCGCCCATTGAGGTTTTTCAGCCCACTAATGGTTCTTTCCATGAATAGAAGATAGATTTTAAAATCTTTATTTGATAAAATAAAATTAGACCTCCAAGCAACAGTAACAGCAACAGTTGGCGGTCCTCAGCCAAATACAGGAGGTATAATTGATGAGAAGCATGCCACAGGAATACTAATACAGGATTACTAATCTTGTTTTTATGTAATAAAGTGAAGCAAACATAATTAAGTTCATCAAAGAAGTGCTGCCTTCCTCCAAACTTGAATGCTTGTTTCATTTGCTACTTCTTCAATCCCAGAAGTAGCAATAATAATCCAATATAGTTGAAGGCGTAGAGCAATTTGATGAATTGAAACTTGAAGTCATTCCATGGTGGATACCTGGGCTCAAGCTCGGGGAAGAAACGTCTTTGCAAGATTGCTTTTTCATGACTGAAAGTATCAAAAGAGTACTTCCCGTGGTATCTTCCGAAGCCACTTTGACCAACACCTCCAAATGGTAGAGAATCACATGCAAACTGCAAGTTTAACATGAAACGTAATGCACTCCGAGTTCTAACAATATTGAAGCACGCAAATGGAAGAGATGGGATCGTACTTGAATCAGGGTGTCGTTGAAAGTCACACCTCCGGAAGATGTTTTTGATAGAATTTGTTTCTTGAATGTTTCATCCCTGGTGAAGGCATAAATGACAAGAGGTTTTGGCCTGGAGCTTATGAACTCAATGCTATCATGAATATTATTCAGCTGCACAAGTAGTAGCATATTTTAGATAAGAAACAGAATTTTGTAATGAGAAAGACGGGAGTAATCCTCACTGTGATGATTGGAAGCAAGGGGCCAAAGATTTCTTCTGTCATGATCTGAGAATCGAGGGGAGGATTTAGCAAGATTGTGGGCTCGATGTACCTACAAGATCATGGATGAAGATTGATAAAAGCTTCTTTCAGTATTGTTTGAAATTTCAGCTGAACTTGTGTCTCTCAACAAGTGACTTGGAATGGTAAAAAAGACATG